AGGATAGCCACTGGTGGCGAACAGTTTACCGTATCCTGCGACCGCGTTCTGCACCTGCGCGGCCGCCGCCGCGGCCGCAGCCGCCTGCACCTGCGCCGCTTGTGCCTGCGCGGCTACCAACTGCGAGGCCGCTGCCGCGACCGGCAGCGGCGGTTGCGGCGCAAGCCGTACACCTAGAGCGCCGAGCACTACCCGCTTACCGAGCGCTAGCGCGCCCGGTTGCACCGCCTCCTTCGGCTGCGCCTTCTTGCACTCGACCTTCTTGTTCTTGATCGTGTGGAAGTGTATCTCGCACACGCGGTCCACCACGTCCTCGTTCTCGAAGGTGACGAAGCCGAAGCCGCGATGACGTTTCGTTTGTTGATCCATCAGCATCACCGTCTCCTCCACTTTCCCAAATTGATTGAAGTAGGCCTTGACCTCGTCGCTGCTGGTGTCCTGACTGACACCACCCACGAAGATCTTCTTAGTGCGATTGGCCTGTTTCGCGCGATTCTTCGGCGTCGCGTGCTTCGGATCAATCTTCTTGCCATCCAGGGTGTGGACGGGACACTTGAGGACTTTGTCGACGGTACCGGGCTCGGCGAATGTGATGAAGCCGAAACCGCGGCTACGCTGTAACCGAACAAGCCGAGAACCGGCACGATGCACAAGGACCGTCTATTGCGCGTCTCCCTCTTTTTTCTTGCGACTGTTTTTCGCTCTCGCAATCGAACACGCTCCCGACATCCGACTCATTTTTTTTTCCCGACTTGATCGAGGGATACCGTTTTTTTATTCGCACTTTTTTTCGTTCAATTATCGCAAGATCGCTCTAAATGTTTAGGACGAGTTTTCATGACCATGAAAACTTTTTACGCGTTGGGACAAAGCTGATTATAATTTGTCGATTATTGCGAGTAAAGTACCACACGATTTTCATCAAATTACTGTTCACTTCTAGCCTGCTCGAATAGTCACCAAAACTGATCCGTTCGTCTTCTCCCTAACTAACTAAATTGCGGGTTCGATTCGGAATATTATAGAAATGCTCTATGATTACGAAATTATCCTGATCTTTAATAAATCCTGCCTTCGATGATCTCTCGTAGCTTTTGTTATAAACGGTTAACTAGTGCTACCAAACTACCATTTGCATGCAAGACTGTCCAAGCCAATGTTTAAGACAAACATTCTAATGTTACGTGAAACAAAGACTGCGATAAGACTCAAATCCATTACGAACGTTAAGGAGCTACTAATATATATATAATATATATATAATATGTATAAATATTACGTCTGTCCCACCCACTCTCGTTCGCGAAATCTCAGATATTACACCCGCATTCGACATTTACCGCCTGCAAATCCGACAAAAGAAGAAAAAAAAAACGAAAATTCTGCCTCTCCCACCTTCTTTTAATATATAATGCGATTAATGCGATTAATAATACCTAATACAATCTACTTCTCTTGATACTTTATCAGCAATTAATTACACCGATTAGTACAACTTCTCATCTACTACGGTCTACTACGGTATATAGTTTCGTGCAAAAGTGGAAGGAGAGATTGCTTGGTGCATCGAATCCTGTCGAGGTAAACTCCTTTCTCTCGCGGCATTTTCGCGGCCGACCCCCCGCGAAGCACGAGGATCGGGGTCGAGCCGAAAACCGTTACCGGCAAATCAACAGGCGCGGCATGAACGCGATTTGGAAACGCGTGGGCAACATACGAGGCTGTTCTACCGTAAATTGAATAACACAAATTTAAACATACCCATGACATTATTAACGAAACGTTCGACCAATAGAAACTATTTTTAAAAAGTAGGTTTCTAATCATATAAATTGTACGTAAGATGCATTTAGGAGTATGACTGAATAAAAATTTAGAAACATTAAATTAGGAAAAGAGATTAGAAAAATCAACTTGTCATTCAAATTTAAATTAAATGATACTATATTGCACGCATTCTTTCTTAATTAATGCGTCTTTGAAATATTATCAGAACGTGACCGATGAAAATGCGAGATATGAACGACTTTCGTTATTAGCTTGACAGCTGATGAATTAAATAACGCGAGAGAACAGCCTCGTACAATAAATAACCGTAATTGATCGGGCGAGCAAGCCGAAAGTGATGCTCAGATAGGTAAGACCGACCTGCGTCATCGGATCCTTCATGATGAGGACATCAGTGACTGGGCCGAACATGTTAAAATATTCCCGCAGCTTTTCACTGCTCGTCTGCCAGGAGAGGCCGCCCACGAAAAGCTTGCCCGGCGCCGGGTCGCCGCCGTTCGGCGTACTCCTGCCGGAGCTGCCTGAATGGCTACCGTTTATCGGCACCAACGTGTTGTGGAAGTCGTGCTCGATCGCGCCGTTTGTTGCCTCCATGCCGGCGCTGCGAACAAAAATAAATCAATCGTAAGACCATTTGCGGTCAAGTAAAAATCCACGTGCCATTCCGGCTCGTGTAGGCCAGCATCAGACTATATGCATCGAAGATTGAGATTGAAGACTGAAAGATTGAAATTTAACCAATCAAAACAAAAGGAACTAAAATTTCTTTCCTCCTCATTGGTAAAATTCAATCTTCGTTGAGTAATCTGATTAGTAGGCCTCACAGTCTTCGTATCAAAAGCTGTTAAATTTCAATTACAATTGTATAAGTTTTTTAAAACATCAATTCCATTTCTTGCAAATTGTATATTATACACTGTATTCACAGCATTTTAATTGAAAATAATATTGTTTTTTCTATAACAGTATTAATGAAACGAATAACATTTTATTAAAACAAGAACATGATATACTTACTTATTTTATTAATAAATACTGTTAAAGAATTAATACGATTATTTTCAGTTAAACTACTGTTAAATGACTGATATTAATGCAATATATTATTTTTTCTATATATATATATTTTTTATTTTTATGATATATAAACATTTTAACTACAAAGAGCTTGCGTTAATAATTTAATACTAACATAATTCGTGCGCGAATTAAATTGTACATCGTGTTAAATACAAACGGATTTCTATTGATTACATTTTGCAGCCATTCCTTGGGAAAAGCGTTCGTGCAGATAGCGATAAATATCTCACAATATCGACAGTTTTATTAAGAGCTCGTATATTTTTCTTGTTTCAGTTGATACCGCTCGTCTTACTGAACGCTTGCGTGATGCTCGCCGTGCCTTCCATGGTCTACCATAGACTGTTCGTTACTACAATTGACGTTCAGTAAGTAGTGGGTTCTATACTCTTCCGGACCGATACGACGCGACGGTAAAGTAAAACAAACACTCTGTCTCGCGCGACAAGGTGTAAAAATAATATATCATTTCGCAAAACGATCGCGTCAGCAAACCCTGGAACTTGGACGGAAAATATAGCGCGACCCGTCTATTCCTGTAAGCAATCTACATTCTATGTATAACGCCGATGTGTTAAGGTCACTGTGTCTGCCGAGAGCTAACGACCTTGGCACTGCCACGTTTTATGTCTACTTACGAGGAACTTTTACTTACGCCGTGTAATATGCCAAGCGGTCCGTTAAAAAAATATATATAAATATTCTTATCACAGAATCAAGTAAAAACGGGAAATAACGTTTCTCGTTTACAGCGTTCTTTCGCATTTGCAACTTTTACGCATTCGTCAGGATTTTATGTAAATCGCAAAAACTGCACGCGAAAATAAATATATCTTTTCAAACAAGCGAATAATATTGTTGTCTTTTTAGGATGACGGATTATCAGAGATACGAAATTCCGTCGGTGCCGAGATTTTACGACCTGCGGAATCCTCGTAGTTTGAAGGTGAGTTGTTCGCAAAATCAAATGCACGTTTATTCCTGACATTACAAAAGCCATTTTCTAGTAATTACACTTTTGACATTTTCATAAAATTTATTTTTCATGAAATAAGTTTTTAGCTAGTGTTCTGGTTCTCGTTTCATCCAAGCTGTATATGTAGAATAATCGATAATCTCATGAGGAAAGAAAAACAATGTGTCCGTCCATACCCTGTCTCTCGCAATATCCATAAATTTCCGACCGTCCGCTGCATTGCCACCGAACGCGCGCTTACATTTAATATCTAGAGGCACGGATGAGCGCCAATATCTGATCAATTATTACGCCTGATGTAAAACATTCAGTTAAAGTAATTAATTAAAAGCAACGTGCACGTAATCTGTAGAATTACGTATCACATATGACGTTTGCTATTATAAAACGAGATCAATTCCGACAGTGATGCCATTATCATCCTTAACCCTGATTAATTATTTTTACAATTATCTATATTGATTAATTGCGCATCGTGTTATCGCTGTCTACATCCGCTTATATTCGGCGTCGCTAAATAATTCGTGCTATGGCTGCATCTCACGAATCTACTGTGCTTAAAATGAACCTATCGCGTTTAAAAATCTGTTACATTGTTTTATTCCGAGAGTCCTTGTCTCTCTAATTGATAAATTACAAGGTCGTTTCATGCCGTGTAATTTAATTCTTAGATGCAAAATAAAATGTGCAACACAGTCGATGAAATGCACCGTGGCATCTTTCGTAGAATTGTTTTGCCTCTCGCTCTTATGCTGTAACTATATGTAATATAATGATAAGCATCGAGTCACGAATTTTGCCGTCGAGAAACGAGAGGTTTCAAAATATTTAAAAAATTTAGCTAATTCCGAAAATAGTTTTGTTAAACTATCGAGATTATTATTACAAGACGCTCAAATTGGTCGTTAGAATATCGAAACTTTTCGTTTTACATTGCTCCTCATGCTTGAGATTCCTTCGCAATTATTTGGATTGGTCCAACGAAACTATTTTCAAATCTATATGTAACTAAATTTTTAGAAACTTGAGTAAAATCGTCCTTTCCGTGTAGCTGCAGACATTCTGTGCGCGTTTTACGCACGTCCGATACATTCCTTCTTTTATTTCAGATAGTAAGATATCTCATATATCGCGAGTAACAAACCAATATCCCATCTAGGAGCAGTACCTGGCTTGGTCTCGCCCATCTCGTGTCTCGCATGTGACTCGAGAGATACGTACGAAACTAAGAGAAAACTATGGTCGTTCCGTCGTGTATATCTAACCGGAGATATACCGTGCCGTCGCGATGCCTTTTCCCTCAGGATCCCAGCGTCGTAACGCGTCGTACATTCACCGCCAGCACCGACGGCGTTGCGTTCGTACGGCGGGGGGTTGCGCGCGGGGCAGGGCAGGCAGGGAGGCAGGAGAGGATGGCGAGTGGACGGGACAGCGGGGTGCGCTGTGTAGCAGCGGGGTGGACGGTCGGAGGAGAGCCACGACGGGGTTTGCGCGTTAGCCCGGTTCGGATATATCGCCGCGAGCGGCATGGTCGACATGCGCGCGACGAAGGGTGTCGCGGGAGTGTAGGGCGGCGGGGTGGTTAGGCATACAGGGGTTAGAGCAGAATGGAGCGCGGCGAGGGTGGAGCGGAAGGTTCGGACGAGCGAGAGAAGAGAGGAGAAAGGCCAGGAGGGCGAAACGAGCGAGTCGTTTGGGGTTGGGAGTGGCGGCGGCGGCAGCAGCAGCAGCGGCGGCAGCGACGGTGGGACGAAGTGGCGCGAGGGAGAGCGGGTAGTTGCCTGTCGTGGGGCACAACGCCGACGAGAACGCGCAGCCGGTGGATCAATACACCCCTCCGCGGTGTTCTTCTCGCCGTGTGCGGCTCGCACCACCGCACGGCTCTCGGCACCGCTCGCTCGGTCATGCCGGCTTCGGTTTCCCAGATCTCCCTCCTCCGAGGAAGCCGTGATCGGTCTCACCAAGGAAAACGTCTTACGACGTTTCTTCTCTTCTCTCGTATTTTCTTCGTCTCCTTTCCCTCAAGCTTCCTTCAACGTTATAATTATTAAACTTTTCTTTTTTTATTTTCACGCTTTTCGCTCTTATCGTGTTATCTTACTCCGTTCACTCCCATATTGAGGTCGTACATCTCATTTCCATGGGAGACGTTTATTGCCGTCGATATCGAAAAATTCTCCAGACGATTCTCCTCCCCCCCCCCCATAGGATAAAAAAATACAAGTTGGAAAAGGACGTCTAGAGTACGATATATCGTTTGCGTCTTCTCCGCGATTTATCATATCGAGCAACGCCCGTCCCTCAAAATTGGAGATGTTTTTCTCGAAATCAGAATTTTTCCAACACGGCGGATATCTTTAGATTGTCTCCTATTTGGTCCAAAGAGAAAATCGATCAATGAAACATCCGTCATGCGTGCGTGCGTTCGTTCGTTCGTACGCACGCACGCATCGAATCACGGAGACAGGATACTTTGACAGACAGAATAAAATTGTGAAAAAAAAATTTGCAAGTCGTAATTAGATTTACGCCAGAATTAACGTATCGTTTTTACCAACAAATGGAATCTATGTGAAATGTTTTAAAATTTTTCTAATTTTCTAATTATTTCGGAAAATAATGTTTATCTGTTTGTGTTCGTGTCTTCGCAGGTTACTTGTTTGTTCACGCGAATTTAAAATTGTGTGCAAAATAATTCCGCGCGTTGCAGATTTAATTTTCTCGTTGGTGCGTCGTACGCTTTGCGGTTATCGAGCTATCGCCGCGAAATCGAAATATCATCGCGTAAACTGAGATTTAAAAAAAAAACCGTTTGATGTGGCTCGAGTGGACGATTGCACAATCGGCCAGCGTGACGCGGCTTATCGACTATTTAATCGAACCATATTGTCGTCGAAAAAAGGTACTCCGGTGAATATATGGTTTTCGCGGAAATGTAAATGGCGATCCATAATCGTTCAACGGTGCGATCATAAACGCACATTATAAAATTCATGAATGTCCATAACGCAACAAGCCAAGCATCCTCTTTTCCCGATGACCTCGATCGTCTTACGTTACGACGGCGAGGACGGGACGTGAGGTGAAAAAGTGAGTGAAAGAAAAAGAAAAAATGCAGAAAAAAGGGAAACAAAAGAGAGAAGGGTAGCGAAAGGGAGAGGAAGAGAAATAATGATAGAAAAAGAAGGGATGAGAAAGGGAAAGATAGGAGGGAGAAAACTGGATGGTTGAGGGGTGGCGAGACCAGTGTAGTGAGATCGTATGTACTTTCAGTATTTTCAGTATCGCTAGACATCCCTAGTACCAAGCAGCAGTCTCCGCGTCCGCCCCCAGCAACGTCGAGGGGTCGTACTCGGTCCCCCTCTCGTGCCGGTGCTACTCTTCCGCGCCCTGTGAGTCCCTGCATCCCTCTCTGTCGCGTATACACACACACGCACACAGGCACACACACATGCGTACGCTTTCTCTCCCTCTCGCGCATGCGTGCGCACATACACGAGAGCGGAGGATCATATCGAAGACGAAGAGGGTGAGTTTTCCTCGCG